CCACAAAAAAAAAAAAAAAAAAGCGAAAAAAGAACAAAACAAACGAGAACGGAAATGGGCAACGATTGGCTCAACTGATTTCCAAAGGGTTTTCCAAGTGCATTTGGTCCTCTGCGATGGGGTCCCAGAAAAAGTACTTTCCCACTTTCCAAAATGACTTGCCCGCTTTTCGTGGGCAAACCACTTTTCCATCCGCAAACGTGTGGGGTCCAAGCCTTAGAAACCATCATAAAAGCCCTAAACCAGCTGCTAAAAATGTGTCTCATAGGCTACCTGGAAACCGGGTCCAGTGTCCCTTTTCTCCGATCAGAAATGTACTTTCCAAAAAAGTTCTCAGTTAGCGCGCAGTAAAAAGAAGTGGAAATATTTCTACCTCAGAGGTTTAAAAAAAAAAAAAAAAAAAAAGGGCCAGTAGGATTCATTTTGAAGAACAAAAAGGCCTGAGACCCCTACTGAGGCAGAGTTGCTTCAACTTACACAACGGAATCATTAGTCGAGATCTATTGCGATCTCTAGCTTATGACATTAGTCACACACCCACGGAGCCAGCCAGAGTCTATTTTCCGGCAGAAGCTTGCAGAAGACCCCTTTAAGTGACCATGTCTTGTTGAACCAATATCTTCCGCGTCCAGACTTATGTCTTGCCTGCTTCCATTCAGCAAACATTGTCAATCTGAGGATTTCACTGAAGTCTTCTTGTAGTTTTGCCTTTCCAGGCGGAATGCCAAACAATATCCAATCATCTGTCCATTCCCAGTCTGATCCCACATAAGCTTCCCAAACAGTCTTCCACCACAACCATAGCTCGTCCGCCAGGGGGCAGTAGAGCCAGAGATGTTCGGTAGATTCCCAGCCCCAGTTGCACCTCCTGCATGTGACACTTAAGTCCATGCCTCTGGTATGCAGCCACAGTGCTGACGTCGTAACTTGCATTGATTGAGTCCACATCAGACTCGCCTGCCTCTGAGAGGGGATTTTCCTCAGGCTTTTCCACAAATGTGCAAAGTCTGGGGCTTTCTCCGCTGTTTCACGAATCTTCTAAAATCTCCTTACCGCCACTTCAACCGGCCTTTCTTTCCTCAGGTAGCAAGCATCTACCCCCGTCTTTGGCTCGTAGGCAAATAGAGGGGTCTTCTTTCCCTCTCTAGATGTCCAACCATAGAGTGTTGGATCAACCTTGTAGGTCTCTGCCAGCCCCTTTAGTAGGATTCCTCGTCGAACAGAATTACTATCCTCATTCTCCCAGACTTTTACTTCTGTTAAGTGTTTTGTCGACTGGATGGACATCTCCTTTACGAACGATACTTCCCTCCCTTTTTTCCCTTCTCTACCCACCACCCAGCTTTCCACTTTCATTCCTTGATGGAGGTCTGGGCCCAGCACCTTCACTACCTCCTCCAGTCTCGGTGCTGATGCGTCAACTAGCCAGGTGTCCTGACCGTGTTCTGCTTCGCGTTTCAACCCTCCCATTGACTGGGAATTGCCTCCAGTATTGCAGACAGATTATCCTGCACCGCCTGTAGTCGAGGGAGTCTCTTTCTAATGTCTTCATAGGAATGCCACGATTGGTTGTCCTCATCCCACAGATGCTTAACCTGCAGGATTCCTCTTTCTATCCAAGACTTAGCAAAACTACCGCCCTTTTCAACTGAGTGGAATGGGGAGCCCGCCACAGACTTAATCAGGTCATTATCAAAAAGGGGTTGATTTGAAATCTCCAGCTTTGAGGAAGGATGCTTCAAAGACCTGGGCCGAATCCTAGACCATGCCTTAAGGATTGCAGACCATATTCTAGATTTAACTTTTCTCCTCCCCATGTCTGTTTGAACTAGACATACCCATACCTGTTCTCCATCCTTCAATGCCCAGTCCCTCATGAAGATGTACTCAGCCATCATAATCCAAATCTTGTGCTCCTTGTGTTCCAACAATGCCTTGATCACCCATTTCCCTAACAAGGCAATGTTTTGGTCTCTAGGGTCCAGGATACCCAGCCCCCCTTCCGTTCTTGGGAAGGTTATTGTGTCCCATGCCACTCTCGCTATAAACCCTTGTTCCTCTGTGGCTGCAGGCTTCCATGTGTATCTTGCTGCCACTTTTTTTATTGCTGAGTACGCCCCATCCCCCAGCCAGTGTGTGGTCAGGGGGAACCAAAGCAAAGAGAAGGCGGCAGCGGACAGAACCAGAGCCCTGCCAAATAGCGATAGTTTGTGGTTTCTGATCCACCCCGTGATTCTAGCACAGACCTTCTCCTGAAGAATCTTGTCTTGATCTGTAGAGCAATCTGATAGTGTCACTTGTACCCCTAGGAAGCGTTCAAATGAACCTTCTGCAACCTGCTTCAAACCCCATTGTGCGCACATCTCATAGGGGTGGGAAAGAAAATACAAGGATTTATCCCAGTTAATTGATGCCTCAGACAGCTGACAGTATTCATCTAATACGGACCTCAGTTCAGTGAAAGCCGAGACCGAGTTATCACACGCAATTGTTAAGTCATCAGTAATCGCTCCCCCCTTCTAATGAATGGAGAGGGGGATTTTAAAATCAACAATCATTGGATTATGGCGGATATTATCAAGCAATATTTCTAATTGAAGCACAAATAATAGGGGGGCCAGGGGGCACCCCTGTCTTAATGAGCGGGTTAGCTGAAAGTCCTCAGACAAACGACCGTTTACTATTACCGCGGACCTTGTCGGGGGGTACATTGCTTTGACATTGGAAACAAACTGGGGGCCAAAACCCATATGAGATAAGGTGGTAAGAACAAAAGTCCATCCCACCTTATCATATGCCTTTTCCATGTCGAGAAGGAGGACAACCACCTCCCTCCTTTCCTTCGAAATTATTTCAGGGGCTTGCAGGGTGGTCATTATATTTTCAAAAATCGACCTCCCTTTTACAAAAGCCCCTCTGTTCTTGCCCGACTAGAAGGGGGAGGATGTCTGCCAACCTACTAGCATAGGCCTTGGCCAATATTTTGTAGGAAACGTTTAGAACCGATATTGGTCTGTAGTTTTTGACCTCGGCCTTGTCACCTTTCTTATATAACAACGATATAACCCCTTTCAGAAAGTCCCCCGGTAGCCTGCCTGATGTCCTGACGTTATTAAAAATATCTCTTAAAAAAGGCCCGAACGCTGGCCAACAGGCCAGGTATAGTTCCACAGGTAATACATCCAGGCCTGGGCACTTGCCCAGCGCCATTTGTTTTACCGCCTTACCCTGTTCTTCGACTGTGAACGATTCGTCCAATGCCAGCATTGCAGAACGCGAGACCCGGGTAGTAGTTCTGCCCCAGAAGCTGCTGGTAATAGAAAGATCTGTGTCCAAAGTTTCAAACGGCCTCCTAGTAGAGACTATATCTTTGAAGTATTCAAGCGCATTTGCACACATAGTTTCCATATTAGCGGCTGGGGACTGGTCTATAGCGAACGGATGACGAAGCTCTCTAATCAATGGCTTGGCTTGTCTCAGAATAAGTGATCAAAATGACAATTTCGTCATTCGATCATATCCTATTATCCCACGGATCTTCAGCCACTCCAGCCATTCAACCTGCTTCCTGACCTCTAGTTTTTCCAACTCTATCAGTGCTGATTTCCGCTTCTCAGACCAGAAATAGTCCAGAACTGGGTCTGTGCCCATATGGCTTTCTGCCTGAACCACTTCCTTCTTGAGCTTGATTTCCTGCCATGTGCGATTTGCTGATTTCATTCTAGAGAAATTCATGAGGGCTACTCTAATTATATTAATACCTACTTCTGTCCATTCATGCAGGTTCTCAAATAAGTCTTTCATCGTGTTCCACAGGACCATTTGGTCTGTAACCCATTGTTTAATACCCTCATTTTTAAGCACATTAACATTCAACCTAATTCTCTCCTTCTGAATCACTTCTGCCGAGACTACATCCATCAGTACTGGATGGTGGTCCGACAGAGATTCTGAGCCTGGAAGTATATCACACCAGAAGCAGGTATTCCAAGGAGAGCCCCTCGCCAATATGAAATCAAGCCTGCTTCTTGGGGCTGGTGTATGATCGGATGGTTTGGCCCCATACCAGGAGAACCCATTTAGGTCCGGGTGCAAAGTGCGGAATACATCAATTAACGAATAGGCATCCAGCAGGGTTGTGAGCAAACCTGTATCCTGTCTGGGCGAAAAAACTGACAACGAGTCTAAACCATGGATCATTATTGTATTGAGGTCTCCTAGTATTACCAAATTTTCTGTGTCTGGCAGAAAGGCAGGGAGGTTGGCTAAAAAATCTATGCGGTCTATTAATTCCGCAGGCACGTAAACTGAGGCAATGCCCCACTCCTCCTCCCCTAGCAAAAGTTTGACCCACGCAATTCTTCCACGAGAGTCTGCATAGGAGTCCAAAATTTGTGCTTCTAGATCCTTGTGGATAAGTACTGCAACTTCTCCCTTGGTCCCATCTGCAGAGGACCAGACTTGAGGATCGTCCCAATAGGAACGCAAAGTCTGTAGTTTTTCAGTATTTAACTTAGTTTCCTGGATGCCTAAAATATGAACATTATTAGAGTGCATCCATCATCTAATTCTTGAGCGTTTAAATTTGTGGGAAGTATCGCCTAAACCGCGGACATTCTAGGATGCCAACCGCAGTTTAGGCGGTAATATCAGCTACAGAGCTCATGCCGGTAGCTTGGATCCGGCTCTGGTCTTTGATATGTATCAGAGGCCTTCTTGAATCTTTGGCCTCCTTACCAGAGTGGCTAACCACATTAAATTCTGGGCTAGGCAAGCCCCAGAGAGCTTTTCTAACCCATTCGTGTATCTTAACCAATCTAGGATAACTACCCTTGATCTTTCTACAGGCATGTGTAGTTTTTCTATCGAATCTGTGTTGCCCGAAAGAAAATCTCGGAGGGGGATCCAATGGACCCTAAGGTCGCACCATTTCTCAAAGGAATCACAAATGGTGCGGATACCCATCAGGGCCACGTGGAAAACCACCGGAGTGAGTTGGTGCTTTTGTGAAAGATAACGGTTTATTTTAAATGACGAAAGCACCGCCACTGAACCAGTGTGATTCAACACTTGCCTCTTGGCCAGCTCCACTGCCTCCTCGTCTGAGGGTGGTGCGGTTACTGAAATCGACGGAATTTCCAGACCGTCCTCATTTGTAATTCTGGTGAGGAGTATCGGTCCTACAGCTGATTCCGAGATTATCAAGGGAATCAGGAACTGTTTGATAGGCCCTTTGGTCTTGTCTGTTTTGGTAATTGTCTTCATCGGGCCGGCCAACGATATTTCCCTTCTACAGTGACTGTGAGGTCTCGGTCTCTTACGACCTTCCTTGTCTTTTTCGGAGTGCAGATCCCGTGGCGGGCTTCTTGCCTCCTCTCCCTCCACAATCCCGGCAGATGCATCGTTCCGTTTGGATTTTTTGGCCGGAGAGAAGTCAATTACCTGGACTAAACCTATTTCACCCAGTAACTGTTGACTACCCACCTTCTGAAAGGGAAAAATATCAGCTAACTTCCATGTGCTGCCCTCAACATTTTTTTCCATTTCAGGTCCGGGTCTGTCCGAATGGTCTTCATCGTCCGAAATATACGAGTTATTGTTGTAGACCATGAAGTTGTCCAGTGGTTGAGGACCTGAACCCCTGTGCGGAGGGGTGTTAGCTTCCCGCCCCTCTTTCTGAAGTTCAACCTCCCCCACCTCATGCGGTACCTCAGCCTCTGCTGAACCTTTTTCCTCAGAATCACCATTACCACTGCTTTCTTTTCCCTCTACCAGCTCCTTTCTTCCCTTCTTCTCCGTCTCTTCTACCTCTTGCCCTGCTTCCCTTCTGACCCCTGACCCGACCTCTCCTTCCTCTTCCACCCCTTTTTCGACACTCTCGATGACTTCCTTACCACCTCCCTCCTCTTCAATCATCCTCTCATCGGTCTTCCACTCTCCTTCCTCTTTCTCCTCTTTTTCCTCCTCATCGTCTCCTTCACCCTTGTCATCCTTTCCTTCTTCATCGTCTTCATCTTCTTCCTCCTCCTCCTCTTCCTCTTCATCCTCCTCCTCTTCCTCCTCCTCCTCCTCCTCCTCGTTCTCAAGCTCTTCTTCTTCAGAATCCTCCATATCCTTGGAGTCATCGTTTCCCTTGTCCTCTCCATCACTAGTCATTTCCACATCCTTATCCCCCTTTTCTCCTTTTTGTTGAGGATCGTCGCCTAGGGGGGGTTTTCCCCTTGCTTTTGCCCCTGCAATTACACCCTGTGTCTCCTCTTGGGGGGGTGGACGAACATCACTGGGAGCTGGGGGGTTCGGGGCCTTTTTTTTCCATACCACGATAGCCTTACCTCCTCCCTGATCACGTGAGGTTAGAGGCTGTGGCTGGTTGCTCTTCTCAGCTTCTTTGTCCCGAACCTTGCCCTTCTCCTTTTCATGTCGACTTTTCTCCCCCTGAGATTTCCTACCCCTATTCTCCTTCTCGAGGTTTTGGCTTTTTTTGGCTTTTTCAGACCGCTTACTCTTGTTATGGGGCAAATCCTTATTTGGTCTGTTCGGTTTCGAAGAGCTCGTTTGTCGTTTCGAAGGGCAATCAGCTGATTTGTGAAAATATCTTCTACAAAATTCACACCAGGGGGTATCCGCACAGGTAACTTCGATTTCAGCATAACCATCGTCCAGGAAGTCAATCAACAAATAGGGTTTGTATCTCATTCTCGCTGACGAGACTAAGTCAAACCGGATGTTCATTAATTCTGGCTTACCTGGTTCTTTGAAAGCAGGGTATGCTTTCAGAAATGAGCCGTATGCGTCTTCTACCGCTGACTCTAGCTGGGGTAGAGCCGAGATCGGAACTTGCAAGCATCTAATCCAAAAGAATTGAAAACGCATGACTTCCCTTGATTCGTATAATTCATAGTCCGTCATCCAAGGTCGAAACGTGATAGTGTACGTTTTGCCGTCCATAACTATCTTTTCCTGTTTCTTCCTCAACATGAAGGACGCAATTTGACTAGAGGTAGAAACGTAAGTAACTACATTGCGACATTAATTATGGAAGAGACCTCGTTTGGGAAGGACATTGACCACACGACTAGTGGCCCAACCGTCTTCATAGATGCGAACAAGACGTTTCTTAACGTCCAAAGGCAGAGATGTTGTTTCGTCCCCAAACAAAATCGTTATTGCATGCTCCTTGAGCCAATCCACTTTGAGTTTATACACCTCTGGGTTCACGATGACTCTGACGAAATCTTCCCCAACTTCGATTGTGTTCTGCGCCAAACGTTTGGGGAGGATTCCATCGGAGTAGCAGGATTTGAGAATTCCCCGAATCCTCTGTTTTTCGGGTTCCGAGAGTGGTATATTCGGATTCTCCGGTGGAGGGGAAGGGGGGGCAGGAGGAGGATTTGAGGGGCCGGGACCGGGACCCCCAGAATCGCCCATTTTATGAGCTGTCCCTTTACCTTCCCTATGACAAGGGTGCACTATAAGCTTTAAAACAGATACTAACCCAATAAACTGCGAAAGGGATGTGGCATTAGTCGATAACTACCACGATCGAAATTATCGCTCACCCTCACAAAATAAAATAAAACACACTAACATACCGTCAGTTGTTAAGGTATCAAATAAATAACTGGTCATCCCATATCTACTCCCACGCCAGGATTTAAATGAGAGTGCGAGAGCAGTATACCTTCCATGGCTGCTGGAGATGACAAACCTGCCTTATGAGAAACAGGCTCCATATAGCTTAGGAAACCCAAGGGTTCCTCTGCTTCTATGTCGAATCAGTATATTCATCGCTTCCTTTGACTCTTCTCCCATCGACATGATGTTGTCCTGTTGACCCGCCGACTCTCTTAGACTCCGCACATGGCTGGCGAGGTTACCCAGGATAATCATATCCCTTAGGATATGGACAAGCGTTGAAATCCCCGGATGGAAACCCTACACCTGCTTTGCCGGAGCTTTTCTCTCATCGCTCATGGGCGCTAACCCTTGCCCTAATCTTGCTTAGCGCCAAGCGCTGCCAAGGCGGCGCTTAGCGCGGGCAAAATTAGCGCAACAAAATTAGCGCACCGTCCTCCTTGTCTTCTCTTTTCTGCTACTGTCTACTTCTTGCTAAATCGGTTTACCATTACCGGGCCCAGTGCCCAAGGCTTAAGCTTCTTCTATAAGCAATACAACTCTACGTTTAAACCACTAACTTATGTTGCTCCAAACATTTCTATATCCATTCGACATTCAGACTCCTACTCATTAAGTCCATCAGAACTCCGGCTGGAAGAGCGGATTCTAACAGAACAAGGTAGTCAACCAAACTAATTTTAACGGATGTCCCGGGGCATGGTCCCAATTTTAACGGATGTCTCGGGGCATGGTCCCAATTTTAACGGATGTCCCGGGGCATGATCCCACTAGCAACCGGATAGGATAGAAAAAAGTTTGTGTCGCAGTTGAGTGACCCTAATCCTGCCGTGCAGTACTGGCGATCCCACGGTCAGTATTTTACATGTATTACCCGAAAAAGTAAGGAGATTTTCGTTCCCCTCCTCCTCTCCTTAACACTGGGCATGCCGGTGCAAAGGAAGTTTCCCGCCAAAATCGTTTCAATCCGTTGGGGCATGGCCAACCCCAAAAGAGAGTGGGGTCGGCCATAGGCCCACCGGGGCCGGGTCCCACCAGCGCCTTATCGTGGTGGGCAGCCGCCACGGTGCGACGGGCTGCCGCGCGGGAAAATTGTCCGCAACCGTCGGCAGTCTGATTTCGGTTGGCTTAATGATGATGGTTTTGTAGATTGCTTTCGTTGTTTCGCGTGCGCGAACGAGGACTGGGTTTGTGTCCCTGTGGGAAGTTGTGGTGGCCACTGTCACCTGCGACGGTTTTATCGCGTCAGTGCGGACAGGACTGCTGGCGTCTGCGTGGAAATCACGGGCCTTTCCAAAAAAAAAAAAAAAAAAGAAGAAGAAATCACGGACCTCGCTGCACTACTCTTGACATGCACAAAAGACAAAATTCATGGCGGTGCATCTTGCCATATTCTAGCGGAAGATTCACTCTCGTTTTGCACATTTCGAGAGTAGTGCAGCGAGGCCCCGTGTCTGAGGGCCTAGTTGCACTACCGCCATAGGCCAAGTTTGGCGAGTAGGTGCCTGGTTGCACTTAGGGTCTCGCTCCACTACTATACACTATACAAAATTGTATAGTTCGGCGTCGCTCCACTAACTATACACTATACACGTGAAAACTCCGTTGTATAGTTGTGAGAAATCGGTCGTGGATTGCACTCTACATTTGTGTATAGTTCCCATCCTGCAACTCCTCGAAGGGTGGTCGAAGGAGGGTCTCGCTCCACCACTGTCCGCTATACAGAATTTCGGAGAGTTTGTGTATAGCTGTCAGAGTACCAAAAAACGGAGATTTCGTGTATAGTCTGCGCCGTCGCTCCACTTACTATCTGCTATACAGCTCTCCTATTGCTGAGTTCACTACAAAACACCCTAAGAGCACTACAAGAGAGCAGTTTGTCGGCCCAGACTCCAGGCGGACTATCTGATTTCGTGTTCGAACGGTGGCCTCCTTCGACCACCCTTCGAGGAGTATCCAAGTAACGACTTTTGCAAGCTGGGAACTATACACAAATGTAGAGTGCGATCCACGGCCGATTTCTGACAACTATACAACGGAGTTTTCATGTGTATAGTGTATAGTTAGTGGAGCGACGCCGAACTATATAATTTTGTATATTGTATAGTAGTGGAGCGAGACCCGGAGGCCGCCGTTCGAACACGAAAGGAGTCTGGGCCGACAAACTGCTGTCTTGTAGTGCTCTTAGGGTGTTTTGTTGTGAACTCAGGAATTGGAGAGCTGTATAGCAGATAGTAAGTGGAGCGACGGCGCAGACTATACACGAAATCTCCGTTTTTTGGTACTCTGACAGCTATACACGAACTCTCCGAAATTCTGTATAGCGGACAGTGGTGGAGCGAGACCCTTACTCGCCAAACTTGGCCAATGCAAAATGTGTCAGACGGCTCGCCACATAGTCGACACAAGTTGTGGAGAGTGAATTCAGTTTCCCCGCCTTACACGGCGGTTTGTGGAGGGTGGTCTTCGGACCTCGCCACAAAACAGCTTTCTGGAGAATGCAGGGCTTCACGAGTCGACATGGGGGAGACAATTTTTTTTTACGTTTCTGTAGAAGAAATCTCGTGGCGAGTACGTGCAACCAGGCCTCGAGTTCGACACGATTCTCATATTTTTCACTCTCCACGGATCCACCGCGAAATGTGACGGATGGTGAGTAGTGCAACTAGGCCCTGAGCCATGTGCGTACGTATCTACACGCTGGGCCCATCCAAATTATTGTTTTAGGGGGTGAGGGATATGGGCACTGGGCTCTGCTCGGCAACAGGAGGTTCCGAGTTCGAATATCAGCCGCACGGGGCTGTCAAGGTTTGCAGCGCCACGGTTCTTCTTGTTTTCTTTTTTTTAAGGACCATTGACGGAGTTGCTTGACAGGTCCCGGGATCGAATCGCCCGGCTAAATGGCTTGCGTTCACTGCCATGTTCTTGTTCGGCATGTGTTTCTATGGCCGTGGCCACACCACTCGTTATGGGTGCAAAACTCAAAATGAACTTCCCGCTAGAGCATGGCCAGATGCAGCCGCCACAATTTTGTCGATAGAAGCATTTGGAGAGTGTTGTGGAAAGGTCCTAGATATAACTCCGCTGTTGTCGTTTTAACTGATTGCGTGTGTGTATTGAACATGGCCATGACTTCGCTGGTGCATGCCTTCGTTATCGTATTATTGGATGGCGTGACATTGTGTGTCTTCGTTTAATATGGCTCAACAGTGGAGGTGCCCCTTGTACGTTGTTGTTTGTGGCAGTGGTATGCCTGCTGCGTGCGATGCTATCCTTCACATGAGACTGGGGATAGTGCTCTGTGCTCTGTAAGTCTGACGTCTGGAGCGCACTCAGTGTCTGGTCGTTCGTACATGCATGTCATTGCGCCTCCCTGCACTACTCTCGAAATGTGCAAAACGAGAGTGAATCTTCCACTAGAATCTGGAAAGATACACCGCCATGAATTTTGTCTTTTGTGCATGTCAAGAGTATTGCAGGGAGGTCCATTGTGTGCATTTTTTTTTTTTTTTTTGATTCATTACAAAAGTCAAGTGTGCATATTTTATACTGTTGTTGGCAGATAACATGAAGAGGACAAAGAAGCACGTGGCATTCTCGCGGCCATTCCTTTGATCGCGGCTACACAACAGCCTTTAGGTGATGGATTTCTAAGACGACAACAGGCTGAGCATTTTTACAAATGGTCGCCAAATCCTTCCTTTCCATTGTCTTTAGTGAGAGGACAAACACAAAACACACAATGAAAGAACCAAAAAAAGAAAAAAAGAAAAAAAAAAAGAGAAAATATACGTACAAAAACAGCGAAAAGAATTATGTGAGGCGGAGTACTCTGCTCTACACATCATCCTGCATATGAATTAATCCTACATTTAACCCCATTGAACCTCGTCCTTATTATGTTATGTGAGGAAACTACACAGGAGGAAAAACGATTACAAACAAATGGAGAACGAAGTTGCACAGGGCATTGTACACGATGGCCATGTTTTTCCAAAAACACAATTTAAATTGCGATGTCACAGTCTGAGGAGGAAAATGGTAATTGTGGCGTGGGCACTTGCAAGGCAGTTTTCCAACCATCCTTGCCACGTTGGGCAACACATAAATGAATGTTCACGCCCGTGCTTGCCGACAAATAATGCGCAGAAAGTGAAGTCTGAGGTAAGGAGTTGGCATGTGATATACAATTGGAAAAGCTTTATGCTTTGATCACAGAGCCTCAAAACTGCCAGGAAGCGACTTTCATACATTCCCCAGAACACCATATACAATTGGACGCCATACACACAAAGCCATATACAATTCGACATGTCAAAGATGAGGCCAATTTGAACAGATTAATGATACCTATTCAATCTGTTCAACCAACCAAAGAAGAGAGAGAGAGAGAGAGAGAGAGAGAGAGAGAGAGACGTATGGTTGGGACAATGTCCCTTTTTCGGTCGTTTTTTTTTTCCTGCTGTTCTCAAAAAGTGTATGTACATATGGCGCTCAGACGACAGCACGCCGTCGCGATGGTAGCAAGCAAAACAGTTAAAAAAAAAAACGAAAAAAAAAAAAAAAACACTAACAACCGAATGCTGAAATGCTAAATTCCTACATCACGAGGGTGACCATGCAACGTACGAAGCTATTGTACACCGAACACGCCGTCGTGATCGTAGCAAGCAAAAAAGTTTACAAAAAAGAAAAAAAAAAGAAAAAAAAAAAACCCACTAACAACCCAATGCTGAAATGCTAAATTTCTACATGAAGAGGGTGACCGTAAGCTATTGTACACCGAAGGGACAGAGATTCAACAGTGAACATACAAGTGAGCCTGTCCTAACGACTCCTAATGTAGAAGCTCAGAGAACTACTATCGCTGACCTTCGGCTGATATTCAAAAACGCAGTCTCCGACGACTACAGGAACAGATTCTGGACACAAAATTGTTGTTAGCCTACAGGAGAGTTGAAGCTTTAGTTGCCGGATGGGTACCGGCTGATAAGGGAGCATCCTGGTGCGATTGGCCTCAGGTAGTGTTGGTTTGCCCTCTTGAAGACGGAGACTGGAATCTCCGAGGGGGCAGGAGATTGCAGGATGAGGATTGTGTGTGGCTCGTGCTGAGGATAATATGGTCCTTCGAACCCTTTACTAGGATGGAGTTGGGGAGGGTGAAGGGGGTTCGGTTGGGGGAAGTTGGGAACGGATGCGATTGGCATTGAGTGGAGTCTCGATGGGTACCGGCCGTCGTCAGCTGATGTGGCATACTGCAGGGCCCGTCCCGCACTTTCAGCCTAAAAGCCTAAAACTTAAGGCTTACAGGCCCCGGTCGTTTCAGCCTGAAAGCTGAAATACGAGGGCCTGCAGGCCCTATTCCGTTTCAGCCTATTTCTGGGCCTTTCAGGCCCAGAGGCTTTTCAGCCTGAAACGGAGGGCCATTTTCAGGCCCTCATTGTGTTCGACCTACCTAAGACTCAGGCACGAAAACAGGGTTTCGGAACAGGCCAGAAATAGCCTGTTCCCCACGCCAGCTCGAGCAGAAGCTGCAGCTGCAGCCCCTGCCTCCCGTCGGCATTGGCAAGAGCAGCCTCCTGGACTGCTCGCCTGCAGTCAGGAGGCACCCGAGTAGTACATAGGATGTTCCCATGCACTTCACGGGTAGGTAGTTGTCAGTAGGCACGAGTAAGTCTTCAGGATTCGGCCGCGGCACTCAAGAGGAGCGCTGCAGTAGTCTTCAGCGCTAGGCAGTAGTCTTCAGCGTTAGCTGTAGTCTTCGGCGCTGGGCGCCCATAGCTGTAGGTGTAGTCTTCAGCGCTGGGCGCTGGTAGGTGGTAGTAGTAGCATTGGAGGGAGATGGCTGGCGGAGGCCAGCGGTACTTACCTGTGGCGCCATAGCTCCAGCTCCATGTTCGAGGTACCTGCATCAAGGCGCCAGCTTCACAGGTTAGAACTGGACACAGAGAGAGAGAGAGAGTTTTTCTTCTTCCTCTTCTAATCACCCTCTCACCACCTGACTTCTCAGACTACGACAGAGAGAGAAAGAGTTGTGACTTGAGACTTGACGACATTGGATCCAGAGTTGACATTTGGGATTCAGACATTTCGACGAGGGACTATTTGGGCTGTGCCGAAGACTTGGTGTTGACGACATTCCCATCTTCCCCTCCTCTTCGTCCAAACCCCCTTCTTCTTCGTCTGTGTATGGTAGGGGCTGGCGCAGTCTTCCTGTGTGAAGCGCCAGACCCCATTCACACCGTGGAATGATGATGATGATGTATGTTCAGGGCTGCATTGCAATATTGATTGTTCGGATCATTGGTATCTAAGTCTTCCGCTGTGCTATCTTATACTTTGTATTGAGAGGTCGGTTCTTGTTCTGGTCTGCACCGTTCAGTATGCAACAACTGACTTCATTAGAACGTACCCGGGACCTCCCCTTCGATGACAAAGACAGAACTGTTGCACTTGTTGGTCTTCCGGGACCTCCCTTTCGATGATGAGGACAGGACTGTGGCACTTGCTGTTTTTGGAAAAAAGATGGTGGGGTATCATGCGTCCTACTAGCGAGTGGGCTAACTGGTAGGATGGGAATAGAGCATAGCAGCAGCAGAGATGGTGGCTCTGCTGCAGTAAGTCTTGCTGGAGTAGGGCCAAGGGGATTGATTGGGGGGTCTGTTTAAATCATGAAGATTGTTGTAGACATGTCTGAAGCTGTTCYAATATCTCTGMGTCAAAAGCCGGGTAATGGCCCTGGTATCTTAATTTTCMAAAARAGAAGTAGYYCCAAATTCTTAAGTAGCTTTCTAGCCTTAWTTTCATGGAATTTTCTGATGACTTTTCTGAACGTGCTGGTTATGGGACGCTGGGCCCGGTTCCCAGTTTGTGCCTATCTGTGAGGATATGGTTGTATCTATGGGATGCTGGACCCGGTTTCCAGCAGGTGTTGCTCCCCACCAATAGATGGAGCTTGTGTTTTAAAAAAAAAGAAAAAAAAGAAAAAAAAAAAGAGAGTTGAACCTAAGCAACATATGGTACATACGGGCACACACACACACACACACACACACACACACACTGATGAACGCTCGCATACATACAACACACAGAGTCAATAAAGCGTTGACCATTGTGAATAACATTCATTGGACTGCATCCATGCAGATATTGCTAGGATGTCCTTTGCACGATAGCAGACCGCATGAGCCAGAAGTGTCTGACGTCATGCCTGCGTGCATGCACCTTTCGCTGCCATAGCTACATCATCGGCACAGGACCATCTCGGGGTTAGGCCATGCTGCACACAGGTCAGTCGGAGCACTCGCAACGGGTGAAATATTCGTCCTTGTAGTCCGTTGATGTAGACCTCTCCTCATCCACCGTTGGTTCCGTGGTGAACTTAGCAACCAATCTCCACCCTTCATCCAACTTTGCTGCAATGACTGCTGCAGCCTCCTCTTGTGAAGATGACATCAGAGCTCCGTGGCGTTCCAATGCTTCCGTGCACAGTTGACTGCATTTCATCGAGTCGGACGTCATGCATATCCTCTTCAAAGATTGTGAGAGCTTCTCTACGGCACATCGCATTCTTTTCGATGCCACAGCAGACCCAGGGCCGTCGGCGCGCACAGTTTTTAAAGCGGTGGCTGGCTTAGCTGCTTGTTTCTGTTGCTTGGCACGTCGTGGTGCTTTTCCGAGCCCTGAAGTCGCACCTTCGGGAGGGATGTCTTGACTTTGTGCGTATGCATCTATCAGGTCGAACCACTCGCGTCTGAAGTTTTTTGCGAGGTCACATAACTCCCGTTCCACAGGCGTCATCTTCCAGTATGTCTGCACGCCAATACGATGCTCATGTTCCACTATGTCCATGTATACTGTTAAAACTGCCTTCCACCACTTCCTGCATTCAAACCATGATCTGGTGTACCCTTCAACCAGCATTCTGGCCGATACATCATGCCATCCACGCAGGTGTTGCCTCCCTTCCACTCCAATACGTTTTGTGAGGAAGCCTCCAGGTGTACGTGCTCTGGCGTGGATCAGCTGCATGGTCTTGTCCACGCCCCAGTCATTGTCGTCATCAACTTTCGCGTTCTCAATCAATAGCAATGACTCAGAACGTTGGATGGTCATTCCCTTCTCGGCACTCAACACCATTTCTGCACATCTCCACAAACACGTCGAGATTCAGGCGTTGAGGTAGCTCAACGCTGCTAGTGGGACTTGGCCCCGGTGACTCCGTATGGCACACACGTGCACAGTCGAAATATACGACTTGAGAGGCACCTACGATTCACCGCAATGTGGCCAAATAGTGGTGGCCGCCTACCCCGCTCCAAAAGTGGTAGCCGCCTACCGCGATAACGAAAGGCCGAAGCTGACAAAAGACCTGTGAAACGCCGAAACTCCAGGCCCTCAACGGACCGGTTTCTCTAACTTTTCCCGCCATCAACCCCCGTCCGTGTGATCTATGTGCGTGAACGTCATATGGAGGTCGCCTGCTGTCGCCGCTAAATCGCTCACTGTCGCACGTGGTGGCTGCCCACCACGATAAGGCGCTGGTGGGACCCGGCCCCGGATAGAAGATTTTCAGTATTTTGCTTGCTGTTGTGCAATTATCTCATTGGGTGGAGCCCTCCTCTAATCACGGAGTATATGGAGGGTGTTAGGATCACTTCTGACAGAAGTCGATTTTGTTCCAAAAAAATGTGGCGGCTGCAACCACCACCATCAGATCATTTGTGATCTGATGGCTGGGAAGCACTCTGCCGCCATTTCCTGTGGGAGGTCTCTGTTTTTTTTTTTTTTTTGGCCTTTTTCCTGTTTATCCCTGAAATTCGTAATGAACGTGTCTGGCCACTGCCACTCAGTGTCACACTGGATCGGCCACATTCCTATCCGACTGCTAATGGGACCACACCCTCGGAGGGAGATCCCACTATCGATGTATGTGGAGTAGTGGAGAGGTTGTGTGACTCCGAAGCACCGTGGGTCGGTACCGATGTATTTGGAGTAGTGGAGAGGTTGTGTGACTCCGAAGCACTGTGGATGGGACTGGATATCTGCGGTGTTTTTATTTGTATTTACGCACGGGGACATATGTGTGTTTTGGGGGCCTCCCATTGGATGGTATTTCTTTTCTTTTCGAACAAGTGTTCCTCTTGGGGAGAGGTTGTGTGACTCCGATGCACCGTGGATGCTGTCTCTTATACACATCTAGATGTGTATAAGAGACAGTATCTGCGGTGTGTTTTTATTTGTATTTACGCACCGGGACATATGTGTGTTTTGGGGGCCTCCCATTGGATGGTATTTCTTTTCTATTTGAACAAGTGTTCCTCTTCGGGTCCCAAATGTGAGTCGAATCATAACAATTTTTTTTGTGATGATTTTCACACACCTTCTACTCACCTTTGTGTCATTGGCCATGCTTGGAAGACAGGCAGAAGTGATTTTGTTTTGGGAGGTGTTTTGGAGGGTTCGATCCTCTCACCTACAGCAAGTGCTGTATGCAGTTACTCTTGCCCTCCTTTGTCAAAGAGGAGTTATGTCAGAACAACCCAGTAACGTGCAATGTGGCCCATTTCAAGGAAGCCTCAGAGTATTGTCAATGAATATGGTCCATGTGCCGGCTCACATGCAGTTGTCTGGACTGCCAAGCCATGGTCAGTAAGGGGCTCGTTAGACACTCCTCGGCGCGTCCTCAGGCTCCGGGGGGAAATCCTCGGGGCAGCCCGAGGAATTTCGTTCCACTGCTCCCTCGGGACGACGCCCGAGGATGCTCGGAGGACTGGCCGCGGGGAGACGTATAATTTTATACGCGGCCGCGGGACGAAAGTTTGGGCGGTGGTCCATCGTCCGGTGTCCGTGCGAGCGGCCTTGGTCCACCGCGTTCGGCCTTCGAATTCGAAAAGGGACTGCCGCCACCGCAATGAGGAAAAAAATCCGTGCGTACGCGTGCACTTTCAAAATTCAAATTTCGAATCGGCTGACCATGCCGTGCGGTGTGGTTCCGCGGGGACATGCGGGTACCTTGGGGCGACCCCATGGGGGACTCTGAGGGGTTTTGCAGTGGGCGTCACGCGAGGGAGCCGCTAGCCGTTGTGGCGTCAGCACAATGTTCCACACGTATTTGAAGAGATGGCTCTCCGTGGCCCTCCGTCGACTGTTGTGAGCGTCGCGTTCCGCCTTGCTCGTTCGTCTTCACGCACCGCGGCACGGCCGCCATCTTCGCCAACTTGCTCGTCGGCAGTGTCCATTGCTGGGGGCGTCCGGTCGAGTGTTGGGCGAGTTCACTCCACGAGGATGATTGCGATGTCTGAGGTGGTCCATGTGCGTGGAGTGGGTGATGGGGATGACGTCGGGGCCGGGTTGTCCGCTGTGGAGAGGGCTGCCGTGATGTCTGCCGTAGCCGCCGTCATCATGCATTGCGACATGGAGGTCGAAGGTCAACGGCGGTGGGCACGACTACGTGCTCGGAGAAGGAAGTTGATGCCGGCGACGACGACTGAAGCGTTGGATAGCGCTGCCATCTGTGATGCCATGTTGGAGGTGTGTTGTGCACTGGGGTGTGGGGGACTACCGAGGGTGACGCAGAGGTGGTGGGTAAAAAGGAGGACGGGGGGGACTTGGGAGGATCTTCGGCCTGCGGACGACGCCACTGACGATTACTTCCGCGACAAGTTACGGATGTCTCCACGTGTCTTCCGCGAGATCGTTGAGAACTTGTCGCCGATTCTCCAGCGACGTGTGACGTTCTATAGGGAACCGTTGCAACCAGACCAGATCGTCGCCTACGCGTTGTACAGGTGGGCGTCGGACGAGACATACGAGAGCAGCAGCTGCAGCTTTGGGATTGGCAGGGCTGCAGGTTTGGTGGCCGTAGGGGACGTTACTGCTGCGCTGCTTTCGGTGTACAGGGAGAAGGTGGCGTGGCCGACTGGGGTGCGGAAGGCGATCGTTCTGCGTGCTTTTGCAGACAAGGGT